TTTTTTTCTCCCCAAAATTCCTTTTAAATTTCATTTTTTTATTTAAAGTATTACAAATAGTAGTACATATGTCTCCTTTTTTTCCCCATTGACCTTCCCCCGGCCTCCCCTACCCCCCAGCACATGCCCTCACCCCCCCCCCCCCCAGTGTCTTGTGTCCATTGGTTATGCTTATATGCGTGCATACAAGTCCTTCAGTTGATCTCTTACCTCCCTTCCCCAAATTCTCCCCAGCCTTCATGCTGTAATTTGACAATCTGTTCGATGCTTTTCTGCCTCTGTATCTATCTTTTTGTTCATCAGGTTATAATGTTCTTTATTATCCATAAATGAGTGAGATCATGTGGTATTTTTCTTTCACTGACTGGCTTATTTCACTTAACATAATGCTCGCCAGTTCCATCCATGCTGCTGCAAATGGTAAGAGTGCCTTCTTTTTTACAGCAGTGTAGTATTCCATTGTGTAGATGTACCACAGTTTTCTAAACCACTCATCCGTTAATGGGCATTTAGGCTGTTTCCAAATCTTAGCTATTGTAAATTGTGCTGCTATGAACATAGGGGTGCATATATCCTTTCTGATTGGTGTTTCTGTTCCTAGAAGTGGTATTACTGGATCAAATGGAGTTCCATTTTAAATTTTTGAGGAAACGCCATACTGTTTTCCACAGTGGCTGCACCAGTCTGCATTCCCACCAGCAGTGAAGGAGGGTTCCTTTTTCTCTGCATCCTCTCCAGCGCTTGTCTTTTGTTGATTTGTTGATGTGTTGATGATAGCCATTCTCACAGGTGTGAAGTGGTACCTCATTGTTTTGATTTGCATGTCTCAGATGATTAGTGACTTTGAGCATGTTTTCATATATCTCTTGGCCTTCTGTATGTCTTCTTTGGAATAGTGTCTATTTAGGTCCTTTGCCCATTTTTTGATTGGATTGTCTATCTTCCTTTTGTTAAGTTGTATGAGTTCCCTGTAAATGGTGGAGATGAAACCCTTATTGGAGATATCATTGGCGAATATGATCTCCCATGCAATTGGCTTTCTTGTTGTTTTGTTGATGGTTTCCTTTGCTGTGCAGAAGCTTTTTATTTTGATGTAGTCCCATTTGTTTATTTTCTCCTTAATCTCTCTTGCCCTAGGATCTGTGTCTGTGAAGATATTGCTATGACATATGTCTGCATTTTTGCTGCCTATGGAGTCTTGTAGGATTTTTATGGTTTACCGTCTTACATTTAAGTCCTTTAGCCATTTTGAGTTTGTTTTTGTGTATGGTGTAAGTTGGTGATCTAGTTTCATTTTTTTTGCATGTATCTGACCAAATTTCCCAGCACCATTTATTAAAGAGACTGTCTTGATTCCATTGTATGCTCTTGCCTCCTTTGTCAAATATTAATTGAGTATAATGGCTTGGGTCAATTTCTGGGTTCTCTATTCTGTTCCATTGGTCTATATGTCTGTTCTTGTTCCAGTACCAGGCAGTTTTGAGAACCATGGCGTGGTAATATAGCTTGATGTCTGCTATTGTGATCCTTCCAACTTTGTTCCTCTTTCTCAGGATAGCTGTGGCTATTCGGGGTCTTTTTTTTTATTCCAGATGAATTTTTGGAGAGTTTGTTTGAGATCTTTGAAATATGCCATTGGTATTTTAATATGTATTGCATTGAATCTATAGATTGCTTTAGGTAGTATGGACATTTTAATGAGGTTGATTCTACCAATCCATGGTATGTTCTTCCATTTGTTTATGTCTTCCTCTATCTCTTTTTTCAATGTCCTGTAGTTTTCCGAGTACAGGTCTTTTACGTCCTTGGTTAAGTTTACTCCTAGGTATCTTAATTTTTTTTCGTGCAATGGTAAATGGGATTGTTTTTTTAATTTCTCTTTTTGTGAGTTCATTATTGGTGTATAAAAAGGCCATAGATTTCTGGGTGTTAATTTGTATCCTGCCACATTGCCAAATTCATTTATTAGGTCTAGTAGTTTTTTGATGGAGTTTTTGGGGTTTCCTATGTACAGTATCATGTCATCTGCGAATAAGGACAGTTTTACTTCTTTTCCAATTTGGATGCCTTTTATTTCTTCTTGTCTGATCGCTATGGCTAGTACTTCTAGTACTGTGTTGAACAGGAGTGGTGAAAGTGGGCATCCTTGTCTTAGGGGAAATGGGTTTAGTTTTTGCCCATTGAGTATGATGTTGGCTGTAGGTTTGTCATATAGGGCTTTAATTATGTTGAGGTATGATCCCTCTATTTCCACTTTGCCGCGAGTTTTTATCAATAAAAGGTGTTGGATTTTGTCAAATGACTTTTCTGCATCAATTGGTATGATTATATGATTTTTGTCTCTCAGTTTATTTATGTGATGTATCACATTTATTGATTTGCGGATATTGTACCATCCTTTCATCCCCAGAATAAATCCCACTTGGTCATGATGTATGATCTTTCTAATGCATTGCTGAATCCAATTTACTAGAATTTTGAGGATTTTAGCATCTATGTTCATGAAGGATATTGGCCTGTAGTTCTCGTTTTTTGTGGTGTCTTTATCTGGTTTTGGGATTAGGGTAATGCTGGCTTCATAGAAAAAGCTTGGAAATGTACCTTCCTCTTTAATTTTTTGGAATAGTCTGAGAAGGATAGGTTTCAGTTCTTCTTTGAATGGTTGGTAGAATTCCCCTGTAAAGCTGTCCAGACCAGGGCTTTTGTTTGCTGGAAGATTTTTGATCGCTGTTTCAATTTCTTCAGTAGTTACAGCCTAGTCAGGCTTTTTTATTCTTCTTGGTTGAGTTTTGGGAACTTGTATTTTTCTAAGGATATGTCCATTTCATCTAGGTTGTCCATTTTGTTGGAATAGAGTTGTTCATAGTATTTTTTCATAATCATTTGTATTTCTGTGGGATTCTCTTTCATTTCTGATTTTGTTTATTTGAGTCCTCTCTCTTTGCTTCTTGGTGAGCCTGGCTAGAAATTCATCAAACTTGTTTATCCTTTCAAAGAACTAGCTCTTGATTTTGTTGATCTTTTGTATTGTTATTTTTGGTCACTATGTTGTTTATCTCCGTTCTGATCTTTATTATTTCCTTTCTTCTGCTTACACTGGGCGTTTATTGTTGCTCTCTTTCTGACTCTTTGAATTGTAGGTTTAGATAATTTATTACCATTTTTTCTTGTTTTTTGAGGTAGGCCTGTAGAGCTATGAACTTCCCTCTCAAGACTGCTTTCACTGTGTCCCATAGATTTTGGATTGTTGTGCTTTCAATGTCATTTGTTGCCATGATGCTTTTTATTTCTTCTTTGATCTCTTTGGTAACCCAATCATTGTTTAATAGCATGCTATTTAGCCTCCAGGTGTTTTATTTTTTTAAATTGCTTTTATTGTAGTTGATTTCTAGTTTTATGCCATTGTGATCTGAGAAGATGCTTGATATGATTTCTATCTTCTTGAATTTGAAGAGACTTTGCCTGTGTCCCAATATATGGTCTATCTTTGAAAATGACCCATGTGCACTTGAGAAGAATGTATATTCTGTGGCTTTGGGGTGAAAAGTTCTGAAGATGTCAGTTAATTCCATCTGATCTAGTGAATCATTTAGGATTGATGTTTCTTTGCTGATTTTCTGTTTAGAGCATTTGTCTAGTGGTGATAGTGGGATATTAAAGCCCCTACTATGACTGTATTGCTGTCAGTCTCTCCCTTGGTATCCTCCAGAAGTTTTTTTTATGTATTTGGGTGCTTCTGTATTGGGTGCATATATGTTTACCAGAGTTATATCTTCTTGTTGAATTGCTCCCTTTAGTATTATGAAGTGGCCTTCCTTATCTCATGTTATGGCCCTCACTTTGAGGTCTAATTTGTCAGATTTAAGTATTGCTACCCCAGCTTTTTTCATTTCTATTCACCTGAAAAACCCTTTCCATCCCTTCACCATCAGTCTGTGTGAGTCCTTTGTTCTGAGGTGGGTTTCCTCTAGACAGCAGATATATGGGTCATGTCTTCTTATCCATTCAGCTACCCTTTGTCTTTTGATTGGGGCATTTAATCCATTTACATTTAAAGTTATTATTGAAAACTACTTGATTGTCACCATTTTTTTTCTTTATGCCTGTGTTCCTTCTTCCCTTCCTATTTCTTCTTTTTACAACAGACCCTTTAGCATTTCTTGCATTGCTGGTTTGGTGGTGATAAACTTTCTTAGTTCTTTTTTGTCTGTGAAGCTCCTGATTTCACCTTCAATTTTGCTTGATAGCCTTGCTGGGTGCAGTATTCTTGGATTCAGACCCTTTCTTTGCATGACTTTCTATATTTCATTCCATTCCCTTGTGGCCTGATGTGTTTCTGTAGAGAAATCAGTCACTAGTCTGATGGGGGATCCTTTGTAGGTAACTTGCTGTCTCTTTCTGGCTGCTTTTAAGATTCTTACTTTGTTGGTGGTGTTTGCCAATTTAATTATAATGTGCCTTGGCGTCCATCTTTTGGGGTTCATTTTGTTTGGGACTCTGTGAGCTTCTTGGACTTGTGTGAATTTTTTCTTGGACTTGTGTGAAAGTTTTCTGTCATTATTTCTTCAAACAGGTTTTCTATACCTTGCTCAGTTTCCTCTCCTTCTGGCACCCCTATTATGAGGATGTTGTTTCATTTCGTATTGTCCCAAAGTTCCCTTAGGCCACCGGTTCTCAACCTGTGGGTCGCGCCCCTTTGGTGGTCGAATGACCCTTTCACAGGGGTCGCCTAAGACCATCCTGTATATCAGATATTTACATTATGATTCATAACAGTAGCAATATTACACTTATGAAGTCCCAACGAAAATAATTTTATGGTTGGGTCACAACATGAGGAACTGTAT